AAATGGTACCCTAGCTTTAAATGCTAGGTCTGAGAAGTATTTGGTAATCAGCTTCCTCTGCAGCAAGCAGTCCTAACTAGGAATTTTTACTCCCATGGCAAATAGCACAATCTTTGCCCGTGAAAGTGGGATGAAGTAGACTTTTAACACAGGAGCGGGGCAGCCAACAAAGACCTGAGGGCATTGTCTTTAGGTCAGTGCTGGGAGGTGCTTTGTGGTAGTGGGGATTGGAGGGTAGGGGTAGAAAATGCTCCATCCTGGCTGTCACCTGGTAACTTCCTATTTTAGTTTAATTTAAACTAAATTAAATTGCTTATTCTTGCTAATTAAGTGCTAATGCTCCATCACATCTAGGCTTCTGAAGTACTGAAAAGTGGTTTCAGTGCCCGCTAAAATCTGGTGCTCTTAGGCCAAGGTCCTGGGTGGTCCACCCTGCTTACCACTGAGACAGCACATCACTCCCTTAAAATAGACTTGCTACAAGTGAAATGAGCAGGAGCAGAACATTGTATACAGTTAACAGCAATATTGTATGATGATCAACTGTGAATGATTTAGCCATTCTCAGCAATACAGTGATCCAAGACAATTCTGAAGGACTTAAGGTGAAAAATGCTCTCCTCCTCCAGTGAAAGAACTGATAAAGTTTGAATACAGATCAAAGCAACCTTTTTCTTTATTTTTCTTTTTTTGTTTGGTTTTTTGTTTTTATCACAACATGACTAACATGGAAATATGTTTTGTATGCCTGAACATGTATAACCTGTATCAAATTGCTTGCTTTCTCAATGAGAGGGGGAGGGGAAGGATGGAGGGAGACAATTTGAACGTCAAAAAATTTAAAAAACCCAAATGTTAGAATTGTTTTCACATGTAATTGGGGAAAATGAATTATTAAATCTATTTATATGTGTACGTATACATATACATATATATATACACGTGTGTGTGTGTATGTGTGTGTGTGTGTGTGTGTGTACATAATTGCTACGAATGGTGCTAGAGCCCTCACTGTGTTCTGGATATTGCCTATGCTTCAACTTCAGTTATGTATTCTTCTTGGGGACACTCTTGGGCCATTAAAAGAACTGGATGGAGTAGATGGTGGTCATGTCCTCTGTTTCTAAATCCTGCCCAGTCAATTATCTGTGTTCTGCCACCTACTCTGGGCTCCTGATTCTGCTGATCTCCCGATACAGATGTATTATAAATGTATTATAATCTATTAGAAATTTCTTGGTTCTCACTGGGATCTACGCCCACCACAAACTCTAGGCTCTGGATAGAGCATTTGACCTGGAGTCAAGAAGACCTGAGTTCAAATTCTGTCTCACACAAGAGCTGTGACCCTAGGCAAATAGCTTAGACTTTGTCTTCCTCAGTTTCCCCATCTATAAAATGGGGATAACAGTAGCACCTACTTCCCAGGGTTGTTGGGAAGATAAAATAAGACAGTACTAAAGTGCTTTGCAAATTTAAAGTGCTATATAAATGCTAGCTATTATAAGTTCTCCTTTCTTTTATTCAGTGGAGCAAGACTAGAAGTTAAAATGAACAGTGTTACAACAAGCATTTATTAAGCACCTAAACGGATTCGGCGTACTGTGCTAGGTAGGCACACAGCTTAAGGGACAAAGAAAAAGAAACCTTCACCCTGAAACCAACAGAGGAAACGAGCTTTATTATAACATTTTGAGAGCTTGTGCACAGTCAAGATATACATCTTAGTCTTGTTTCTCCTATATTTCAAGACAGAATAAATTTAAAGTTTTTATTTGTAGACTAAAGCATCCAAAGTACCATGGCACACATGATGCTACACACACACACACACACACACACACACACACACACACACTCACTCACACAAACACTTTTGATACAAGCTTTCATCCTCAACCTGAAACAAGCAGTCAGCATTTTGTTTTGTAAGAGAAACAATGAGAATATTTCAGTATCAACTTCAGAGAGTGCAAGACATTATATGTTCTGTACATAAGACATGAAATGGACTTATAATGATGGAATGTACAAACACCCCCCCAAAAAAAATACGCGCACACACACAGACACACACACATGCACACACACACACACACACACACACACACACACACACACATGCTCGAGAGCACACACAACCCCTTCACATCCTTGTCCCCAGGAGTAGGAGTAGAAGGGTCCAAAGTGGAGAATGAGCTAGCACTCTGGCACAGGGTTCCGCTAACAACGCTGATGAAAGAACATTCCCACATCTTAAAGCAAGAGCACAAGCATTGAGAATAAGGCCGTGTTGCTTTTTACAAACATTGAGTGCCATACATTCATTCGAACAACATAGCCCATTGATCCATCTACTCTAGGGTGCTAATATCATCCATATCATCTTCACATGCAGACCACTCGAGCAGTGCACGCTATTTATCTTCAGAATGCATTGAGAGTTAGTTACATTATTGTAATGGGTAGTTTGCTGTCATTCGAAAGCAAAGCCAAAAAAAAATCATTTCTTCATAATAAACACATCTTTAATGAGCACTTCATTTCCATTATGGCAACACTAGATCCTTTGTTATAAAAAATATTAACAAAAATATAAAATTTAAAGCCCAGCATCGTATTTTGAAGAAATATCAGATGTTTGCAATAAATGTTTACCATGAAACATTTATGGCAAAATAGCTGAAATTTTAACCTATGAAAAAATGTATTAATGTTTGAGTATGATTGAAAGAAATGTGCATTTTCCCTTAGTCATCGTCCTCTTTTTTTAGAAACTAAGGATTGGAGTGGTTGTTATAGGATCCTAACAACTTCTCCTATTCAGATTATCCCCAGTACAGCCTTCAGAGTCCCTTAAAGCCTCTACATTAAAGCCTTGCATTGCTGGTGCTCCACCAGTACCAACTACTCAACTGGTATTCTAGTTAACTCTTAATATTACACATACCCTGTAAAATCAATAGCACTTGGAATGGGAACTTTTGACGACCGTCGAGTGGTGAACAAAAGGGATCAACTAAAGATGGGTGACTGGGGGGATCTGTTTAGTTACCGGAAAACATTTGGACAAAAATACCAAGTCTCTTAAAGGAAAAAAAAAATAAAGATTTTCCATACCCTGGCCTTTGAACATTTGTCCTTGGAAGCTTTTAATCCATGAGTTTCTGAGTAATCAGGTGACATCTTGGTCTCCCCGTATCAAGCAGTGTTGGGCTCTAGTGTGATTGTGGTAGAATGTTTTATTCAGTGACTACAGTTATCAGCAGAGTTTTATTCTAAGTACACCAGGGGAATCAGAATTTTTTAGTGGCTCTTAAGTGCTCCTCATCACCACGTGACAGATTTTGGATACTCGACAATGAAAAAAAAAATAACAAAGAACTTCAGGGGCCTAAGAGAAGGCCACGTCTCTCTAGATCTTTCTCTGAGCATACCAAAAATAGTTCGACCTCATTAGGATGTGACAGCTTTACACTGAAATCTTGTTCATTAATGTCTGATCAGAAGCACTTATAGAATATGTTTCAGCGAAAAGGAATACAGTAAATGCACACATATACACTCAAGGAGGAAATGATATCTATATTTTGACATACAAGTATAAATATATATATATATATATATATATATAAATATATATATATATATATTTAAAACTTAGTGTTTCCTGGAGTGCCCAAAAGATATGTTTTTGGTTTTTTTTGTTTTATTTTGTTTTGTTTTTAGCAATATTTAGATAGTGGGACAGGTCAGAATTACAGTTTCTAGTAAATTCCATTCCAACTTGCACTATTATTGCAATTGAATATAAACAAAGCCAAGGAGCCTAAACATACATTTAGGTTCTTCCAGGTAGTATTAAGCCAGGTAAAAAGCATTGCTTAGAGCCAGGATTAGTATTCCATATCAGAAGTGAAATGGATAGTTAGATTCAATGTTGTTTTCTTAGTTTATGAACATAATTCAAATCTTATGCATGTAGAAAATTCTCTTTAAGTAAAATATTTCTAAGATTGAAAGCCTGTGAAAAATGCTTACTATAAAGGCTTTGTTATTCTTTTAGGTTCTGGAATAAACTAAAGTTAATTTAATTGTACCCATTTTTGAGGCTTAAAAACAATGTGATAACCATGATGAGTCTGTCCTCTCTGTCCTGCAGAGTAGTAGGACAAATCAAAGTCAAAGTTGTAGGCTTACTGCCCTTATTCTGGAAAAGAGTATTGTGGCTGAACATTCTGAAAAGTTTTATTGAATTCTACAACTACCTTGTAGGCCCAAAACAAAGACAAAGTTTAGAAATTCCACCTAAACAAGAGGTACCAAACCTCAAAGTACATCTCCCTTTAAAAAAAAAATTATTTAGTCTTTACTAAGCTCAGTGGTTGGGGTAGAATGGTTCTTAACAGCCAATTAGAAATGAGAAACTGATTTACTCTTTAAAGAAATGAAAAATCCTCTATAAGACAAGTATTAGTTCTTAAAACAAAAAGCCTCAAACATCACCTTCAAATAGTTTTACAGATGTGAGAATTAAAAAATAAATTCTAAGGTGCTGAAAAAAAAAACCCTCCCAAATGTTTTTTCAGACTGACACCATCTTGATTGCAACTGAAAAGAAAATTAAGAGGGGAGAGAGGATAACAATATTATTTTAACAGTAATAGCGATACTTATAACCATTGAGCTAAATATGCTGAAAGTATTGTTTAAGATAGATTGACCTTAGTTTGAACTATTTCACATATGTTGTGAAAATCACAAATTTCTTTTTTTTTTAACTAAAAGTTGGCTACCACCATCATCAGGGGGAAATGGCCCAACCAGGTCTTCTAAAGAATTTTCCAAAAAGGGATTGCCCACATGATTGAATTAAGTTGGGAGTAATGTACCAAAAAACTGACATGAGGATGGTCTCCTTTTTCAGCGTGCTGCCTATTTCAATACATCATCAAATGCTTGGCTATATATATATATGTATATATATATATATGTGTGTGTATAAATGTATATATATAATACACTCTACCTTATCCTATAACCATGTACACAGAATCCTTTAACCTTTCTATTCATCAGACAGTGATAAATAACCATAACATGCTCTTACCTGTAATGTTCTTAAGGTAACACAACTTTGGTAACACTTGCTTTTAATGTTGAAACCATTCATTGATCACTTACATACTTTTGGCTGACCACCCCATGTCCTCCAAGGGCTACTTTTATGGCTCTCTGTCCTAGGCGATACTGTGTGTCCTACCATTTGTGCTGATGGGTTGCGGAAGGCAGAGCTTACACTTTTGTGGCATGACCAAAGGATGAATGTGGGAGCATGGCACACATGGAAAAACTGGCTTTTTTTGTTATTATAACCCAATATGTTCATTTTGTGTTAATGGGATTACTTGTTTATTGAAAGGTAGCATTAACTACTATAGTGTGACAATGATTTCAAAGCCTTAGGAATATCAGGTGCCCCCCTGCCAAGCATACTTTGTGTTCTGCTACCAGGTGAGCAAAAGAAGGTGAAAAGAACACACAGAAAAGGTCTTTGATCTGTTCCCAAATAAATGGGAAATTTGCATTGATTCTTATAGTGCTAATGTCAAGGCATCTTGGGCCCGACAATCAGAGCAATAAGGATTTTGCAAGGCAGCCTTACTTTGTAAAAGGAACCTATTTAGCTATAGTTGCTGATGAAGATGACTGAAGAACACCACGAGTAATACTTACCATGAAAGCTGAGGTCTAGAACACTCCCAGATCTTACATCTGGGTTAAATAACATATATCTACAGTAAATTTTATATGTGGAAGCTCTGAGCAAAAGCTACCATTCACAGGTTTAATCAACATCTTCAAATGCTTTAGTTTTTCCACCTTGGTTTGTCTGAGTCAAAAAATGAGTCATCAGCTATGCAAATTCCTGTTCTACCAGCCAAAGTTCACAGGTTTGAGATTCTGCTGTTTTAAAGGATTCGGGAAAAGAGAGTTTTCTTTTTAAAATGCTAAAGATGAGTTACAGAAATCAGAGATGCAGTCTTATAGTCTTAAGTAAACAGTCACATTTTGAAACCACTGTGAACAAATCCAATGGAGATTCCTTCAGACATGAAAATGAACTCAGTCTAGTTGCAGTTAGGTTCTGCATGGAAAAATCCAGTCCAGGTTATAGTACAGGACAGTGGCTTAGGGTTACTCAGATACCTGCTGTTATTGCAAGTATCGATAGACCTTGAAACAGTGATTTCCAGAGTCTGCCACTACAACATGACCATCCGAAGTTAAGGCCAAGCCTTGGGGACCATAAAGTGGATCAGCAGATGTGTTAATGTAGGATAAAAATGATCCACTCCCATCGAAAACCTTCAGAAAAATAAAATTATTTGTTATGTCAGAGAGAAATAGCAAAGCTACTAGTTATAAATAAGAACTATTAACTGTATTACTTTCACGACACTTTCCAGTTCAGATCACCCACACAGATCCCACCTTAAAACACCTTGTTTTTTACCTTCTCTCTCCACATGTCACTTGATGAATGAATCTTGGTCAAGAAGAAACTTGATTTGGGGTGGCAGAAAGAATAGGGCAGGGAAGGAACAGATAATGAAAAATGGCTATCTTTGTATTTATTCTCCCTGACTCTCCTTCAGTCTCTACTTTCTAGATAAATGGGGATGAATGAGAGAAAGTAAAAAATTAAGAGTCAGGCAATGTAAGGACCTTAATGCATTAGTTTGGAAGAATCATTGTATACAGTTTAAAAAAAATAGCATTTGTAATTCTATTACCCTAGTTTCCCTACTTAAGAGGCAAACAATATTTTTTTAAAGAAAGCAAAATGTGAGATAATTGTCTGATCTGTATGTTTCAGTGACTTAGCCTTCTTTCACTTTCCCACTACTTTTTGCTGTAATAACTTACAAGGATAATTATATGGAAGAAAACAGAAAGAATTTGGGTCTTCTTTACCTCCTTCACATGGGTCTAATATAATTTTTATTAGATAATTACCTCCTTTGTATGTAGATGCCTATGGGGAAATTAAGCAGTCTCCCAAGTATGATGCACTTAATGCATTTTTAGGATCTCAATTTGGTTTCTTTCAGGCAAAATGATCTACAACAGGGATTGTTCAAATTTTTGTGTGTCAGAGAGCACTTCAGCAGTTTGGTGAAAGCTATGGATTCCCCCTTTCAGCATAATGGTTTGTTGCCTACATTCATAATTAAAGGAAATGCTAGATTTCAACCACAGTTACTGAAAATAAAAATGTATTTTTTTCCTCATCTGAGTTCAAAAATCCTCTGAATTGTATCTATGTATTCCTTAGAAGTCTATGGCTTCTGGCTTAGAAATCTTGATCTTCTAGGATGCCAATCAGTGTCCATTTCATTGTGAGGGAGACATTTCAAGGGTCATATTGATTTGGGCTAAGAAGACTGATTTAGTGCTTTCTAGACTCTAAAGTTAATCTAAACACAATTTGTACTGGTGGACATGACCCTACCTCTGTATGATCATCTTCATTGGTATGACCCATTCCTTTCAATGTACACTTAGGTACATGATGTACAAGGACAATAAGATAGGTTTTTTTGAAATTGGGGTGTGTCAGAGATACTTTATGAATTCAAAAGAGTTCTCTGTAATTATTTCTCCATCACCATGATTTCTATTTCCCCATCATCCTGACTGATGCCCTGTTGGCATAATAGTTGCATTATACTGCTCTAAAGTGACCCATTAAGAATGCAGAGGACTCCAATATTTGTGACCATCTATTCTCTGCTTTTCACTAGTACCAACTGCTTTCAACAAACATATCCATAAATCAGCATTTTTAGTTACCTGGATTCTACTGTTTCCCCAGTCCGCTACAATGATATTTCCATTTGAATCTACTGCTACCCCTGTTGGGGCATTAAACTGTCCATTGCCTTCTCCATTAGAACCAAACTTCAACATGAATTCTCCTTCTTGATTAAATACCTGTATGGAATATTAAAAAAAAATTAAGTTAATGACAAAGGGAGCTGAAGCTGGGGCGAGAGGATGGTGATAAAAATGGTAGTAGTTAACAGTACCTTGACTGAATGATTATGAAAATCTGTAACAATAATTTCATTGTTGCTGTTAACAGCTGCAAAATGAGGACCTATAAAAGATGAAAAAGAACAACCTGTGATGATGAAGTGAATATTATTAACAATAACAAGACAGCCTTATTACTTTAAAAAAAACCCTCAATATGTTAATTCAATAATTTAAGAAAAAAATCAAAAAATCAGAGCCAGAAGGGATCTTGAGGGGTCATTTAGTCATTGCTCTGACTCTAAGTCAAAGGGTCCCTATGACATTCTAGACTTATGGTTCCTAAGAGATCATCTAGTCCAATCCCCTCATTTCATAGGCAAAGCCTTAAGAAGTTAAATGACTTGTCCAAGGTCATACATATTTCAGTCAATAGGATTTGAACTTGGGTTTTCGTATTCCAAATCCAGTTTTCTTTGTCTATTCTGCCTTCTTAAAGTCAAGGTTAAGATTTCTAGTAGTTCTAGTGAAGCAGAATAAGCAATCAGCAGTGAGAATCCATCCTTCATGCCATCATCTGAAAGTCACATCTGTTAGCTTCCCTGAGTTCCTATGGATTGTTCACAAGAGCATCTGTTTTTGAAGAAAGACACTGTATCTCTTCAGGCTGAGTGAAAGGTCTCATGTCAATAATATTTTTAAATGTGTCAGAAAACCCACACTTTAAAATTTGGGGTGACAATCAGAACTTGGCAGAACTGGAGATAAAGCACAAACCAAGGTCAGGCACAAAAGTGTTAAAATGTATGAAAAAGTCATTAAAGAAAACTTATGAAAATACTTTCAGCCGCTTATTGTAGATGTGAACACGTAAACGAAGCGAAGGAGAAGGAGAAACGATATAAGATACCTTTCTCATTCTTGGGAAGTACTCCTAAACTGATGTTCTCTTAAAAAATCGATCACCTAAAGAGGGGACTAGGACTTTTTAGGCTGTTTGCTTGGGGTTCCTTAAATGGTGCAACTTTTGGGCTGGGTATTCATACTGTTTGTTCTTCAAGATCATACTCATGGGACTAGAGTTCTATGAAGTAGACCTCTGCTGTATCCTCAACTATTAACAAGAGAATGGGTTTCTGTCCAACTTACATCCTTCCTTCTGCCCTTGTGATTAACTGAGAAGCGCTGAACATGCCTTGGCATAGCCTCAATCCCCAGCATCTTTCCAATCTCAGGGAAACATGCTGGGGATGTGGCCTCTTCAACATGCTCCATCATCATGCATATCTGAGCAGAAGAAGCATAAAAAAGGGGATTTACATATTACCATCGAGTGTACCTGCAAACTGCCTGTCCCCATTTCCTCGGCTACCAAACCTGGTCACAATTTTCCCATTGGGCTGGAAGATGAACACGCAGCATGCTTTGTTGTCCACCACTATGATGTGTCCATTGCGGTCCACGGACACACCTTTTGGTCCCATCAGCTTTCCTGATCCAATTTTTGTCTGTAAGGGACAAAAAGGATGGTGATTTAGGGTTTTAAATATTCTAGAGTATAAAAACAATGGAAATAGGAAGCATCCCTGGAAAATGAAGAGATATAGTTCCGGGTATCCCAAGATGCCAAAGAATCTATTTTGTTCAAATAAATAAGTAAATAAATAGCTAGAGAAACAGAGAAATAAATAAATAAAACTCCTCTGCTAAAATGGTTACTTTCCTTTTCAGAAATCATAACTGCCTTTCTACAGGAAGAGGAAGAATTAAAGGAACAATTCAGATTCGTCATTCAAAATCTCATTTCCAAAGCTCTGATATTACACCAGTAATTCACTAGCTTATTTGAAGGTTTAAGCAGGCAGAATGGTAAAGCCTTAACTGTGCTATTACTTGGTATTTCCGAAAATTCAAGATCAAGTTGGAGAAGTGCACTGAATTCCATTCACAGTATGCAATTATTGGATGGTCACCACAATGGTTAAATAAGCCTTTTGCCCTATTATAACAAAAGAAAAGCGTCCAATTTTTCTAAGCTAAGGATAAAATATCAAGTAAATATTAACATTTGCTCTTTTCTGAGTAGGCCTAGATCTGACAAGATGCTTTTACAATCAACTGGAAGGCCCAAACTTGATAGCCTCAATCAATAGTTCTGGTGTCCAGACAAAGGTGGACATTGGTAAGCATGGATTCCATCATCACTTTTGGTATTCAGTGGCTCTGAGTTCGCCTTCTATTGAATAATGATAGAAACAAAAGCAACACATATCCAACACACTTACTTTTTTAATCTTATTTCACCATCCCCTAGGATGCTTGGGAGCAAGGACTAATCATATGACAGGGGCCATCTATATCCCCCAAATCTTAAGAGAAATTGAATCCAGAGAATTAGGATGGATTTTCACTGTGAACAGCTCCTATAACTGGACAAGTCCATGACGAGTACCCTTGCTTCTGTTCTCCAAGGGAGTAACTTCTTTCTTCTTCTTTTTTTTTTAAAGACATTTATCCAATTAAATTTAATACAACACACAAGTATTTATTAAACACTTAGTACACACTAAGCATTGTGCACAGGAGCACAAAAGTGCTGGGGATAAAACAAAACAAAAATGAAGTGGTTCCAGCCCATTAAAAGCTTATATTTTACAGAGAAGAAACCAATATATGCACAGATAAGCAAATACAAAGTTTATGTACTGCAGAATCAGAAAGGCCTCTCACAGGAGGCAATTGAGCTGAGACAAATCAAACTCAAGGGTCCGGGAGGCAGAAGTGAAGAAAAACAATATCTGATCATAATGGAATGGTCTCTGCAAAGGCCTGGAGGTAGGAGATGAGATCTGATTTAATGGGGAATAGCCAATAGGCTAATTTAGTTTAGTAAATGGAGGGAAGAAATGTGAAATCAGGGGCAGTTAGGTGGCGCAGTGGATAGAGCACCGGCCCTGAAGTCAGGAGTACCTGAGTTCAAATACAGTCTCAGACCAAACACTTGACACTTACTAGCTGTGTGACCCTGGGCAAGTCACTTAACCCCAACTACCTTAAAAAAAAAAAGAAATGTGAAATCAGGCTAGAGAGATTTGAAACAGATTATGAAGAACTTTAAAGGCCAAATTGAAGGAGCTGTATTTTAGGGGAGCCAGCATGACATGATGGAAAGATATGCTGGCTTTGAAGTCAGGACACCTGGATTTAAATCTAGCCTCTACCACTTAAATGCCCATGTCACCTCGTTGGGCGAGTCTTGCCTTGGACCTCAGTTTTTTCTTCTATAAAGTGAAGGGGTTGGACAAATTGATCTTTGAGGTCCCTTCCAGTTCTAAATCTAAGACCCTGTTATCCTAGAGGCAATAGGGAGCCATGGTAGCTTATTGAGCAGGAGAATGGAATGGTCAGCTATTACTTTATATTTTGCTATTTATGTGGAGAATAGGCAGCTAGGTGGTGTAGTGGATGAAGTGCTGGATCTAGAGTCAAGTGTCTCTAAAATCCTCCCAATGTCCCTACAAAACACCCCTTTCTCCCAATGTCCCTACAAAACACCCCTTCCTCTCAATGTTCTAATTTCAGTTCATTGAACCATTGTTCTCTCTGCCTCCCGAGTTTGGAATCTCAAATCATCTGACTCTTCCCTATCTTTGGCTTTCATAACTAATCAGTTACCACTTGCATGTTGCTTCACAAAGAGGATTTTTGCCTCAGTCCCTTTCTTTCCTTTTACACTACAAGTCAAGTCAAGACCTGAGTTTAAAATCTGGCCTCACACTATTTAATAGCTGTGTGACCCTGGAGAAGTCACTTAATTTGTTCACCTTAGCTATAAAATGAGGATAATAACAGCATCCACATTCTAGGGTTGTTGTAAGGATAAAATGAGATAATATTTGTAAAGTGCTTAGCGCACTGACTGGTACATAGCAGGTGCTTAATAAATGATTTTTTCTTCCTTATATTAGTCTCTAAGGTTGGCAAGGCACAGAAATGCATAATTATATCATTTGATCTTTCCAAGAATCCCATGAAGTAGGTGATATTCTTGTTGAACATGAGGAAAGTAAGGCTGAGATAGGGAAAATACAACCAGTAAGTATTTGGGGAAGGTTTGAAACTCCAACTCTAACACTATCCACTATGTCCTGCTTCTGTTCCCCAATTCAGAACTCCTGAGGAGTGACTGACAGTCATCAGGTTCCATCTTTGGCCCTTATCTCTTCTTATTCCCTTGGCTATGTTATTCATTTCCAGGATTTCAACAATCACCTTTAGGCAAACAACTGACAGACCTGTTTCTATTTTCCATCTCTTTTGAAAGCCGCAATTCCATTCTACACATGGGCTTCAAATTCTGAAAGCATTTCTATGATTGTGTTAGTATCCTATTCAAATGACTTCAGTAACTGCCTATTGTCAGCTAAATAAAATCTAAACTCCTGAGCCTGAACTTTAAGGCCCTCAACAGTCTGCCTCTCTCTCTCAAGTCCCCATACTTCCCTCTCCATACTCTGACCAAGCATGGGTAAAAGCAAGATGGCTTACTTTTCCCTAAACACAATTTGTGTTCCTTTGCTTCCATGATGACTTTACTCATAACTTTCTATGCAGAATGCTCTCCTATCCCTTCTGACTGTGGATACCTTACACACTCTTCTTTTTTGGGGGGGTTGGGGGCAGGGGAGAGGCAATGAGGATCAAGTGATTTGCTCAGAATCACAAAACTAGTAAGTGTCTGAGGACAGATTTGAACTCAGGTTTGCCTGACTCCGGGGCAGGTGCTTTATGCACTGTGCCACCTCTGTGGTACCACGGTGCCCTGATTCTTTAAGTCTTAATTTCAACATATCCTGTTCCATGATGCCCTCCTTGGCCACCATAGCTAAAAGTAATACTTCCCTCTGAATGTCCACAAACTTAGTGTGTTCTAACTCATAACTTACTTTATACTTTTATTTATTTTTGTGTGTGTGTGGGCACCTAGTTAAGTAAACCTCTCCTACTACAAAGAAAGTTTCTCAAAGACAGGGATGGGTCTTGTATATATTTTTGTATATCTCACTTTAGAGTATGCAAATTACTTTCCTCCTCCCATTTCTGTAGGTTAGGTAGCAATTATCATTATTCTCCATTTTACATATAAGGAAACTGACACTCAGATAAATTGTATTGGTCACACAGTCAGTAAATTTGGTGCCAGGACATGAATTAATGTCTTTGACACCAAGACTTGTGCTTTTCCCACCACATCCCCTATCACTGTGTCCAGTCCTACGAACATGCAAATCTAGTGGAGAGCTGACAATTAGTTTCTGTAGAGGTAGCAAATGAAAGAAAATAAACATACTTTGCATTTTGCCAAGCATCAAATTAGAAGGTGAAGTTTTAAAAGAACAAATTAATAATGCTAAGTGGGGAGTTTACATCTGTAGTTCCAATAATGCCATTATCACTAGGATCACCGAATCAGAGCCAGAACTGAAAAGAACCTTACAGGTTATGTAGCCTACTCATTATATTTTATAGATGAGAAAATTGAGGCACAGAGAAGTTAAGTAAGTGGCTTAATCTTTTTTTAAAGGGAAATTTTATTTTTAATTCACAAGTATTTATTATCTCCTTCTGCCATGAAAAGAACAGAAAAAACCTTGTAATAAACATGCACAAACAAAGCAAATTACCCTACTGGGTTGTTCAAAAATGTATGCCTTATTACTCATCTCTGACTGGCACACCCAGTCTTACACAGCTAGTAATTGTCAGGGCTGGTATTCAAAGCCAGGTCGTCTGGCTCCAAATTTGGTGGTATTTTAATTACTAAAATATTGAAGGCCTATAATAGGTTAAATGAGCTTCTACAGGATGGCCTGGGAATTCATAGCCATTTATAACAGTTTTTTAAGTGGAAAAAGCAAAGGCATTCTAAGTTCCGAATAACCAAGTTACAAACAAACTTTTTGAAACACAACCCCTTCCTTCCTAAGTCAGCAACTGGCCTGAACCATGTCACGCAGCCGCAAACAGGACACAACTCCCTTGACTCTATCTCCTGGCACTAAGCACCACCTGTAATGGCCCCGTAGAAGGGCTGTATTATTATTGCATTTTTCATATTTATATCCTAGTGCTTAGCATGACGTAGGTACATAGTAGGTTCTTAACGGATTCTTGTTGATTAGATCCACCTGGATAAATGAAGCTTTCTTACAGAGCTACATGATTCTATTATTCTTACTTTAAGTAACAGCTCAAATAATGGAGGGGGCAGCTAGGTGGCATAATGGATACAGTACTGGATTTGGAATCAGGAAGATTCATCTTTCTGAGTTCAAATCTGGCTTTAGATACTTACTTGCTGTGTAATCCCGGGCAAGTCACTTAACCCTATTTACCTGAGTTTCCTCATCTGTCAAATGAGCTAGAGGAGGAAATGGCAAACCACTATAGTATCTTTGCCAAGAAAACCCCCCAGATGGGATTATGGAGAGTTGGATAAATCAGATGA